ATCCCTACGTTGTTTTTCGTTGACTGATGGGGCTGCCAACCAGGAATGGGAGTCGCTGTCATCTGACGACCTTGTAAAGTCATTGCTGGTTGCGACTGAGAAGAGCTCGTTCCAGAAGCTACAGTGACCTTGCGACGAGCTCGCGGTTTTTTAGTGGGAGTGGCAAATGGAGAACTCTGATTCTGAATAGAAGAATCGCCGGATCCAATTAACGGTGTGGCAGACATCATCCGACTATCTACACATGAAGCAATATGCATAGCTGAAGCGGAACGCATTTGTTGGCACTGTTGGCTGTGATCCGACATCACGTTATAACTGTGTCTATTTTCCATGCGAGAAACTGGCGTGGCCAATCTGCTTTGTAGGTGCTCCGCAGGAGTCTGCATAGTTCTGCTTTCCACACGAGGGTCAGAATGGATCATGCTTGGCTGCAGAACTGGGCACTGACGAATTTCCAGCGGAGGCAGCGGTGTAGCCATTCGAGATCGCAGCTCAGCAGCACTAACGGAAGTTTGCTGCACAGACCAAGTTGGTAAAGGTGTAGCAGCCAGTGGCCTATCCAACGACCCACCACCTTGCTGTGTGGCACTTTGCAAAATGAGCCCTGGGTCTTGCTGCATATATGTAGCTTCAGCGTCTAGACCTATTGTTAATCCATGTTGGTTACCCATAGCGCGCGTAGCTGAATGGGAGACTCGCCGCATGTGTGTATGTCCGCTGTTAACTGCTGGAGAATAAGTAACCTCTGAAGACATTTGTCCGTGGCTCAAACCTGGCTCCGTGAATTGAAATTCTTGTATTGGGTAAGAGATAGAGCCACTTGCCATATTACCATAATCCACAGCACCACCTTGAATCAAATCCTGCACTCCAATGACTGAAAGTTCGTAAGGATAAGCTGAAGACGCCTCCGCTCTTCTATTCACTACGTCGGCTAGATACTTTCTACAGGCACCTTCGTAGACTGAGTGAAACTTCATCAGTCTTACAAACAAGTGACCAGGGAGGTCTGAAGGAACAGAAGGGAAGAGAGAGAAGCTAAGCGTTTGATTGACACCTCCTTGTCGTTTGATTCTTAAATTTTTCAATCTCTGAAACTCTCGTTTGTACTCTTCCAAATCGCATCCGGCTGAATAACAGTCAAGTAGAAGACGAGCAAAATCTGGATGTGTATCTGCTATATCTTCGACGGTGTTTGCGCCTAGCACGGCATCGACATTGACCGGATACGTAGAAACGGATTGTGATGAAGAACCCGACGATTGATTATGTCTCAGAGTGCTCCCTGGACCTCCAGTACTGCAAAATGTACGAACTTTCAAGTTGAAAGATTGGAGAACAGAGCTTGTCTGTATACGAGGATTCTTTTTCCTAAATTTCATTGTCGAATGTTTTGCAGGACCCTGAATGAGGACTTCATCCATCACAACAAGCTCTTCGGTGACGACACTCTCCAATGAGCACGGTACTGCTTTCTTTCGGAACTGTGCATGACGTCTAGCAAAACACCGAAAAGCTTTTTTTAAAATTAATAAAGATGACGAAATAGCGAATCTGCAGTAGATTTCAACGATGGCGTTGAGAAAAAGAAGTGACGGCAAGGAGTCCATAAGCGCACGAGCCCAAAGCAGTACAATCATCGGAAGTACGGCCTCTGCAACAGCTAACGTCAGTTTTCGTTCATGTACAAAAGAACTTATCAAAACCGTAATTTAGAGGAAAATTGACGCCAGCTGTGTGTTTCGGCTCATACAATTAGCGTCAAAAACAGCCGACGCAATGTACGCAATTGCAGGCGTACACATTTTTTTGACGCCCACTGTATTTGCCCAAAAAGGGTTCTACTTTAAAATGAGTTGCTCAGACAAGAATAAGCAGTACAATATAACTGAGTCAAATGTTGGAAAAGAGGTGACAAAGGCTTAAAAACAAGAACTGAGTACAAACCTTTTAAAGTGGTGACCCCACTACGCTGGAGCTCTTGAAGCTTCGAGATCCTATCCATAAGCTCATTCGTCTCTGAATCGTCTTTCACTTGAAACAGATTTGTAATACACACACGTGGAGATGCTTACTTTCAATGTGGTTCCTGAGATCCTCAATTTCTTTCTTGGTTAAACACTGTTGAGCACGGACCAACAGCTTTTGCAGTTGTGAACGCTGTTCAAAGATTTGACTTGCCTTACGCTTTTCCATGGTCATGTTCTATAAAAAAAAAAACACATTTTTGAGAGTTCAAACTAAAGATGCAAAAGACAAACCATCATGAATCTGAAGAATTCGGGAATTTTGTCATGCTCTACAATAGCACGTCTATACGCTTTGCGCGTTTTGAGTATTCGATTGTACCTGAAGTGTAGCATATGATAAGCAAGAAAAAAAGAATACCCAAGCAAAGTGACTTACTTTTCGAGGCGAGCAAACTTTATATCGTTTTCAAGATCTTCTATCCTATCTGATGACTCTTGAACCACAAGACGGCTGATAAGCTGTTCCGCATCATTGTACCACTCCTGAACAACTTGTAAGTGGCTCAGCTTACATAACGAAATTTGGAAGGAACAAAAAACCAATGAAAACATGAATAGTTGCTAGTTGCCTCCAGTTCAAATTTTTTTATTCAGCACTCGCTCCGTGATGTTCAACAATATTGAAGACGTACCCATTCAAAGTCGTTTCTAGCGGCATTGTATGCTAACATGTCCATATCACTCTGACGAACTTTTGGCTTTGCAGAATAATCGTGCGTATACAAAGCCAAATTCGGTTTAGTGTCCCGTAACGTACGTATATCATCAGCAGGACAAAGTTCAGAAAGCTGCAACATTGTCTCTAATTGAAGAGTGAGTGGCTGAACAGTCTGTGCTTGACTTATATCGAAAGCGAAAGGAATTAATAATCACCTCATGAAGCCTTATTTCCGCAGCTTTACTCATTCGAGCCATCCTTTTTTGAAATTCTTTCAGTCGACGTGCCTTCTTCGACACAAATCTTGCTCGCCTTTTCTTCTTTACAGAACTGGAATTTAGCTGTTTCACCGATGGTCTTTTTGAAGGCTCCGATTCAGACGCAGAATCATCCTTAAACAAAAATAATAAAATCAAACACTACTACAACGTAAACTAGAGCAATGATATATCAAAATGCATGTCATTATCACCGTTGAATGCTCCTTCTCCAGGCCATGAGTTGGCTCATGACTATCGTCGACAGATGTCTGATCCATTTCCATGTTTTCGATCTCATCCTAGAAGGAAAATCTCGAAAACAAAAAACCATATTCCCAACAAAAAAAAACCTACCGCACTCGCCGAATCATCATCTGTAGAAGAACTGTCAGGCATGACCCTTCTATATCGAGAGGAGCGAATGCTCTTTTCACGGGTTGACTTTCGCAAACCGCATCTGACTCTTACCTGAACAAATCGATTTCATAAATTAAGCACAAAACAACTTTTGCAATCTTACTTTGCTGGGTCTTAGGAGCACACTACTCTGTCGCGATGACTTCCGCACGCACTTACTGTCTGTTTTAGTCTCTGGTTTCACCTGCAAATAGATACTTAGTAATCTTCGAAATCACTAATACTCGAACTAGTA